CTTCTGCCTTCGTGCAGAACGAAGTTCACAACGAATTTTGCCAAAATATTCGTTGTGAACGAAGGCAGAAGAACGAAGACGGGATATGGATTCATGTCTCGCTGTTTTATCCTGATCAGGGTAAGGATTTGGGTCAGCATTCATAAAAAGCTAGACATGAATCTCTAATCTGTCTTCACTCCTGACCCTAAACTCAGAATGCGCAAGATAATGTGCAAGACAGGCAAAACTTGTCAACCACGTCGTCGTCGTCCGACTTCGTTCTCTTGCTCAAACTCTCTAAAGACACACAGAAGGTCTACTCGAATAACCGCTGTCACGCCATGATTCGTCATCAAAATGCTGACGCCATGGTGCTAGCCAGTGCGCGTTTGAGAGGCATCCCCTCCCCTGGGCGTCCGCCATTTTGAATATTATGAGGGGGTGACTGCCTCTCAAACTCGCACTGGCTAGGACCATGGCGTCAGCATTTTGATGACGAATTACAGTTACGCCAAAATCATTGGAAAATCATAAGAAAAACCAAGAATTTGGGCTTCTGTATGACTTATTCTGTGACTAGGCTAGGTATCCTCGTCTCCAATCCAGCGCTACCTTGAGAAGAGGATGGCCGGTGCATATATGCACGGTTATATTTCTCTTTGATCTTTCAGCCAAGTCACAACCATGCAGTCTGCATGTTAGCCAGAATTCTGAAAGAGGGCGTACAATTTCGGCGACGACACACCTGTAGCGGGGTTCGAGACCATGTCCCTCTGGAAAATCTTTGAATGTTGGCTTTCTTAAACAATATAGTAGGGAAATTGTTGAGAATAATTTTCCTTCCCCCCCCCCCCCCCCGAATTTTGGTCGTCCAAAGACGCCCATTTTTTCGTCCATTTACCGGACGCCCTCCTGGCTAAAAGCCAGGTCAAGACCCTATGCCACAACCCTATCGTATGAGGAAAATATAACCTACAATGGTACATATATATTCATTAGTATTTTCATATCTTATTTAAGTTTGCTTGGTTGCAAAACCGCTTGGCATGACAAACGGAGCGATCGCTGACGAGCAGATTACAGCATCATCTGAGCTGGATCACCAATCACTGGCAAAATATGGCAGGTTGGATAATACATTCGAAGCTAATGTCAGGTATGGCTAAATAATATCAGGATTTTGTGTACCTACACTCGATATATACAACTAGTTGTAGAAGGGCTTGTAGGATCAAACCTTCCGTTCCTGTGCAGAGGGCTAGTGGTGCCTAAATTACTTTGAATTTGTACTCGAGTAAAAGTAGAAGTAATTAACAATAAAACGACTTGAGTAAGATTAAAAAGTATTGGAAGCAAAACGTACTTAAGTAAAAAGTACAAAGTATCCTCAAAAAATACTTGAAGTACAAAGTAAAAGTACTATTGTCTGTAGCGTGTAGAGGGGGGGGGGGGCTTCTCCAATGGATTAACATACAAAAGACACAAAACAGCACACGCATTATATGCGTACACCATAATATACAATATTTCACGGCATGGCTTACTTTCCAGACCCCGTTGAAGATATAAGAAATCCATTAAATAAATAATGCTTACAAGTAAGTCACAAACGAGAGATCCCAGACGCATGTAGAGGAGTATTACCAATCCAAAAAAATACATCACTTTAAACTAAATCACAGAAATAAATCACTTAAAAATAAACAAAAGTTAGAAAGTAACGAAATACTTCGCCACAAAATGAAAATAACGAAGTAAAACATTACTTCTTAAAACGACTTCGTTCCAAGTAAAAGTACTGCAGAAAAAGTTTACTTTGTTACATGCTCACTTCTCAAAAATTGTACTTAAGTACATTAACGAAGTACATTTACTTCGTTACTTGACACCACTGCAGAGGGCCTATAGTTGAATTTTTAGGAACTGCGCCATGCTCCAGATTAGGTATAATAGAGACCTTACGATTTTAGGACGGCAACGGCTACCAATACAATAGATCATTGAAAAGAATTGAGTAATTAAAATATATGAATAATTTTCCTCGCTCTGTTTACAACGCCAAATCACAGATTTTCACGTGTTGATACAACGGCTGCATTCCAAGCCACAACAAGTGCAACTTCAAACTGGGTTTATCAGAACTGTTCACAACCATAACAT